AACTCGGGAACTCGGTAGTGCCATCTGGGTAGACAACCTCTGTCTTCCGCTCGCCGGTCGAATCGTCTGCAGAAGGTGAGCCGACGGAGTCGGCAGGGGTAGAATGCCGGCCGCGGGGCTCACGATGCACTCGGACATGCGCCCTGCGATCGTCGACGACATCTCGCGCCCGCGAATCCATCGGGCGTCGGTCTCCACAACGATCGCCTCGAAACCGCCCCCGTCCATTGCATTTTCGCGCATCTCGTTTTCTGCCGCGCGCGTTGCCAGACGCACGGGTTCTTGATGCGTCGCTGGTTCGCCTGCCTCGCGAGTCATGACGCGCCGCTCTTAGCGCTGAAAGTCCTTCTTGTAGACCCCCTTGAAGGAGCAGTCCGCGCGCGCCCCGCCCGTCGCCGTTCCCCGCGGCCAGGCAAGCCCGCGCCGACGAAACCCTCGACGGGCACCCTCGTCCAGCGCACCCGGCACAAGTCGCGCGTCCACCAGAGGGTCTCGCCATTGGCGCGCGGCTGGGCCCTGCCGGAGAATATTCCATGAGAACCCTATGGAAGTCATCGCGGTCAGCCCCCTGGTCGCCACGGCCGTCTTCGTTTCCTTGGTGTCCGACGGAGTGCGAGGCGCAACTCATCCCCTGAATGCGATGGCCGCCTTTTCCTGAGGGTAGTGGTCGCTCGCGCTTCCGAAGCTTCTCGCGCGCCATGTCAAAATCATGTGATCCCTCAATCCAGTGCTCAACCGCATCCAAAGCGGCTGCGGCTTCACTGAGCTTGGGTTCTCTGAGGAGCATGTACCTTTGCAAGTCCTCTGGTCGGATCACGTGCTTCTCAAGTTCTCGGAAGAGCATCTCAAGTTCTCGGAAAAGAATTCGCTTGCGAGCGACATAATTGACCAGGGGTTCCTCTCGCCCACGCTTGGCGCCGTCAGACTAGAAAAGCTGTTCGACATGTTTCGGCATCCTGCGGTCTTGGTACTCGGAGAAAGCCTTCTTAAGCTGTTTGACCACAACCTGCCCGCTGCCCTCCGCGGACAGCTGGTCTTTGGTGAGTTCGTTGATAATGGTATTGGAAAAATCTCTGGCGCAGCGGTTCATGAGGTATCCGTGTTGCCGCTGCATGGTCCTGGTAGTCGTGAGCCGCATCTGCGGCTGCAGCTCCTTCAAGTAAGGCCCTGAACATACATCCTGATACTTTTCCATCCCAAGGTCGCGTGGTACATTTGGGGTCTCCGATTGGTCTGGAAAGTGCCCCTGCTGGCGATCAGAAGATCCGGCAGCTGTATCTCCCCAGGAAGTCGGAGCCGTCGGAGTGAAAGGCGTAGCATGTCCCCGCAGTGGCGTGTTCAGCCGAGCTGCTGCAGCCGGCGAACCAAGACCCCACGCGTTCCAACTTGATGAAGATGACTGCGTATTGGGTTGTGTTTCGGTGAACCTCCAGGCCCAATGTTGGTCTGACCATCCCACTTCGTCACCACCGTCCCAAATAACGTTTTCTCATTATCCGCCTCCTGCCCAAGGATCCTGTCCTGGCAGTAACCAAGGATCATCTGGAAATTCGCCCTCGCGAAACTGATCGTCGTCTGGATGATCCATGGCGGCGCTCGGTGCAAGAGGGCGGGAAACGGGTAGATAGCGAGAATAATATGGAATATGTCACCCAAGAGTCGAGTGACAAAGGAGTCGGCCTGACCCCCTCTCGTGGATCGTAGCCGCGGGCTCCGCTGACACTGTGGATGGAATGTGCGGGAGTAGCTCTATGAAACACAGAGAGGCACGGAAGTACAAGTAGGGGGACCCGTGCTGTGAGAAAGCACGCTCTCTGTCCATTTTACGGGGGCCAGGGCGCAAGTGACTCAGGGGCCCTTTGTGAGCCACAGCGGTGGCACACAAGAGAGGCGGGACGGAGGCGAAGGAGGAGGAGACGCCGACATGACCATGACAACCACCGAGACAGGCAGTAAACGAGGAGTGCAGGAGCGAAAGAGGAATGGGGAGAGGAAGAGAACTTAGGGAGGAGGGGCGGGGGAGAGGAGGGAGACCTGAAGAGCACAGGGTGCGAAGGGAGGAGGCCTAGGAGAGGGAGGGAGAGTGAGAAACACAACGGGAGAAGAAGGGCAGCAGGACCGCGAGAGGAAAGCGAGAGAGAGAGAGGGAGAGAGGAAGAGAAAGACAGACAGAAAGGGGAGAGAGAGAGAGAGTGAGAGTTGGAGGAAGAGAACGACAGACAGAGAGAGAAAAAGAGAGAGAGAAGCCTCCTCTTGCTCTTCCTCCTCCTGCTACTCCACCCTCGCGGGCGTGAAACAACCACCCAGCCACTCCAGCTTCAGCATCGCCCACCGAACGCCCTGGACGTCTCTACTCCGCTGGAGGTCGGCGGAATGGCGCAATACACTTGAACATAAAGGCAGACAGACTGGGAGAAAGAAAATGCCGAAATAGAGTGAGAGCAAGGACGTCAGCTCATGCCCGATTACCCCTCAGGCTTAGACCTCTCGGCTCTGTCCGCGAATCCCCGCAGCACTACCCCTGCTCCAGCAGCAAGTGTCACTAATTGATTCAGACCATGGAAGGGTCGCCTCAATATTGCAACACTTCGCCCGATCAGAGTCATCACCACCATTGCGGTCATCATGCTCGTGTTTGCCCATATCACCATCGTGCTGGATGGGAAGCATCACGCACATCACCAGGCTCACGCTCACCAACATCGCCAGTACCGACTGAGTCGTCGTGCGATCATCGTGCCCGTCATCATGACAGCAATCGATGCTGCCGTCGTCGCCATTTCACGCAGAATAGCTGGCGCCTGCAGCCTCAAGGCTGAACTCAACAACGCATCCTGTTCGTTCGTCCGGCATCGCCATCTACGCACGTCTTCACAATCCTGCGCGCACTCTAGGAGGCAAAAAGGTACCGGTACAGCTGCTCCACAGACCTTTCCGAAGGTGCGTTCTGACCAGAATGTCGAAGATAATCCAGCAGTTGCGACGAAGGCTCTCCAGGATGAGCAGTGGTAGAGATCTGCTCATGCTCCTCATGCTCCGACAATTGCCCAGCTTTGATAGGGTTGCACTGTACAGTGCTGACCGCCCTGCAGAGTTCGCATGCCACTCGGCACACGCCGAGCCGGCAATTGCGGTTGACCTCGCCGTAAGCCTGCAGAAGATGGCGCCGACCCAGGTGCGGGGCTCGCACGTGTTGCGCAACCGTGGGTAATTGGGTGACGGGGAACGCCTGCGACAGGTGTCATCACCGTCATTCCCACATGCTCCGCCCTCCCTCCTTTTCTTCACCACTGGGCGACCCCACGGGCCCGAGCCATGACCACGGGGTCGAGCGCACCTGGAGGGGAAAGACAGAGCAAGCATCGACAGACAACCCAGAGGCAAGGAGAGCACAGGGCGACCGTGGGCCAGAACGACGCAAAGATGTGAAACCCAAATCATTCCCAGGGTGCTCCCCTCCGTAAAATGACAGCCTAGCTAAACTCCCCCTCAAGCTACCTCTGGACTTCCACGAGCCAGTGGAGTCACGTGGAAACTGGGGGAGGGCCTTGTGTGCCCCTTCTGGACCTCGATCGTGTTCCGATCGTGTCTGGTAGCGCCCAGATGTGATGCGATGGTCTGGGCGGGGCCGCCAGCGCGCCGCACTCACTCGGCGCGCATGCCCGCCGTCGCATCGGATAAAGAAGCACTACCCGAGCACTGTTCGGGACGCTGTTCGACACACTATCGGAACACTCCTAGGAACACTCTTCTGAAGACTGCTGGAACACTATCAGAGTACTACCGGGACACTATCAGGGCACGATTCGGTCTACAAATCGCAGAACCACTAAGCAACACGGTCAAACACTAAAAAGCCGGGACTTGCACGACACACAAGGATCCAGATAGTTGCCGTGCAATCGGGCAACGCAGGTCCGCACTCCGATGTCACTTCCACGAGCACGTATAAGGAGCCCTTCGGAGGAGACAAACTGCGGAATCGCATGGCTTCAGCGAGCGGGCTCAGTGTGGAACCATTCCGCGCCCGAGTGCCCTCCGCCTCCTCCCGTCCTCCGCGGCCGCCCTGTCTGTCTTGTCCCTCCCCTCCTGCACGCCAGCCAATCCGCGACTTCGGTCGCCCCGATCGTCCACCGTTGGAGCAGCCCTTCTGCCTCGCCGCCGACGTAAGAGAAGTGTTCAACGAACGGCGCGCACGCTGCGCTAAGCCAGCTGCCCAAGACAAGCACTCAGACACCCGAAGCTGGGCTGCGCCGAGCCTATCAATGCCAAGCAGAACCAAATTGAGCTCAGGCTTTCCTAAGCTCGCCTGGGCCACGATACGCTGAGCGCTAGTAAGCCCAACTAAAGTAAGGTGAGTGAGGCACTGCGGACGCATCGATCAGATTTTGTTCGGCACTGGCCCATGCGTCTATTTTCGGGCGTCCTGGCCTACCCGTCGAGCTTAGCGCCGCCGCTGTTCGTCCTCCCTCTTCTCCTCCTCCTCCTCCTCCTCCTCCTCCTCCTCCTGGTCCTCTTCTTGCCTCCTCACCGCATCTCGGTCCGCATCGTTGCGGCGAATGCTACTCCCTCCTGTTTCGCGTGATTGCGACGCCACGCTTCGTGAGGCAAGCAAGGGCATCAGGCCTGCTTCACATTGACATGGGGGGGAACAATGAGCAGTGGCAGTGCGAGTCCTTGCGCTGTGGAGCGGCACTGGATGGCTAAAACAAAAAATGTGAGGGAAGCAAACGAAAGAATGGCAAGGATATACTCTGGCCTCGATGGCCCAGTCCTGGCGGGATCGGGTTCCAGGGTGGCCGCTTGGTGAGGTACCCCCCCCCCTTAATGCCCACCCCGAAGAAAGCACCCCGCCTCCTCCACCTCTCCCTTCCCGCAACATTGGAAATCTACCCGACATCCAGCGGGGTGGTAACCACCAACTCCCATCATGTGAACATCCCCTCGCGCCACGCCACATGAATACAAGCCTTACGATGCGCAATCGCGATCGGGCCGAATCACAGACAAGCTTGCGGCCCCAGCGGCCCGGGCGGCACTTCCTTCGCCGAGGCCGTTTGCTGCCGCACGAAGCCGTCACCCCCAAAGTCTAGATCCTCGTGCTGCTTCGCGGACTTGGCCTCGCCGCCAGTTTGGCCGAAGAGAGAGAGAAGAGTGCGAAGGGGGCGAGGACGAGGGACACGAGAAGGGGGTACCAGCTCATGGGGAAACATCGAGCTGGAATCGGCGATGCATTTCCGATAGATCGGCGATACGGCCCCGATAACAGATCCGCACGTTCATGGGCGGGGTGGGCTGGAGGGGAAGTAATCTGCACAACGTTAAACTGACAAAAACTCCCCACCAACCTTGCAAGTCCCGAAACATCTGGCGCTCCAATTTCCTCGATGCGTGAACCCCTGGAGGCCTGGACCGCTTCCCTAGGGCTGGCATTTCGTCATGAGTCGTTATTGACGGTCTTGGGGCCCGTCGAAGGCTCTGGAGGCCGAGAACGCGCGCGCAAAAGCCAGCTGGATCCCTTGGTCGGTACGAGTTTGTTTTGAAATGTGGGGAAGCGCGCGCCCGCCCAGAAGAGCCGTACGGGGGAAATGCGCACCCAAGACGAGGAACGACTGGGTCTCAGAGCATAGGGAGTTGGCATGACAATGATGGAGCTGGTGAGGAGGCTCCTCCTCCTCCTCCTCCTCCTCCTCAACATCATCATCATCATCACCACCACCACCATCATCATGATCATCATCACCATCATCATCATCATCATCATCATCATCATCATCATCATCATCATCATCATCATCATCATCATCATCATCATCATCATCATCATCATCATCATCATCATCATCATCATCATCATCATCATCATCATCATCATCATCATCATCATCATCATCATCATCATCATCATCATCATCATCATCATCATCATCATCATCATCATCATCATCATCATCATCATCATCATCATCATCATCATCATCATCATCATCATCATCATCATCATCATCATCATCATCATCGTCATCGTCATCAGCAACATCATCATCAGCATCAGCATCATCATCCTCATCATCATCGTCATCATCATCACCACCGTCACCATCATCATCAGCAACACCATCATCATCATCATCACCATCATCATCATCGTCATCATCATCAGCATCATCATCAGACTCATCATCATCATCATCATCATCATCATCCCTTTTCCTCCTCCTCTTCCTTTTCTTCCTCGTCCTCCTCCTCTCCTCCTCCTCCTCCTCCTCCTCCTCCTCCTCCTCGTCCTCTTTCTTTCTCGAGGCCTGCCGAAATCGCATGTCGAACGGCCAGCTGCCTACTTCAAGCGCGAACTCCCTCAGAACCACGACCGCTTCATCTGGACCAATCCGTTCAACCGTGAAGGACGAAATGTGATCACTGATGAAAGCTCCTGCTAGCATGATCGGGATCGTCACTCCATTAAAGCCCTTGCACGCAACCACCTCGATGCACCAAGAAGCTGTGGATCACGTCCGGGCACGCGCGCCACCGCTAGCGTGCACCAGGAACTCGCTTTCACAAGATCATTGGTGGAACTGCGGCCAGATTGAAACTAAGACCTCCGGTTCTCCATTGTAAAATTAACCAAACAATCGGCTCGAACATTCCGCCCGTCGCTACCAGCAGATCATATCGTCGATGTCCCGCGCCGGGCGCCAATCGGATTGGAACATGCTGAAGATGTTGTTGAGGGTGATGCGCTCGGACATAGGAAACCAACTAGGGTCCGAAAGCACGGCTTCCCAATTTATCACGCCGGCCACGACCTTACGGTCTGTAGTGAAAAAGATGCGCGTCGTCGGCCCGTCCCACTGTGTAGCGGGAGCACGGTCGCCGTGACAGTCCGGCAACTGATCCAAAGAATGGGTGGCGATTCTTCTCCGCCCAAGGCCAATCCCAGTCATATCGCCCACGGGCGTTTCCGCATCTGCACTGTACTTGAACAGCCCCCACAAATCGCACAGGTGAGATTCGAACTGTGGGAAACATGCCATCCACGTTGATTCCTTGGTGCGTTGGTCCTGGTCGCACCGCCACTCACCGCCGAAAACGGTCCCAAACGCATCTTCCGAGTCGACACGATGGACGTAACCGCCGTGCACCAAACCTAGTTGCTGACGTTTGCGTTCGCTGCCAAATGCTTGCGCAGATTTCCACCAACGCCGTGTGCAAAAATTCCGATTGAAGCCTAAACAGGAGGCACGCGTGCCAAGGATCATACAATCACGAATGTGGACACTGGGATATGGAGGTGGCGCCAACCTGTGTCAGTTTCGGGGAAGCGCGCGGGAACTGCGACACGCTGAGTTATGGAGTGAAAAACTTTCGATGTCACTGTGGGTTAATGGCGCGTCTATCGGTGCTATTGGGCGCTATTGGGACCCTCTGGGGCTTATTGGGGGTTTTGTGTGGGCCCGTTCGGGGCTCTTTTGGGGTGTCTTCGGGCAATATTGAGCTGTCCTGGGGCTTTCTGGGCCCATCGTGGGTGCCCGGGGGGTGGCTAGGGGCACGGCCGGAACGGGGGGGGGGGGCGCGGTCGGCCGGTCGGAATAAACAGGCGGGGTGGCCACGGGGCGGAAGGGGCGGGACAAGGGGGCGGCCGGGGAGAGGGGAGGGGGGGCACGGTCGGTCGGCAGGGGCCACGGGGCGGAGGTGGGGGGGCAAGCAGACGTGGGCCACGGGGCAGACGGGCACGGGGGAAAGCATGGGGGCGGGAAGGCACGGTCGGGCAGGGGGGGCACGGTCGGTAGGTCGGTCGGAATAAGCAGACGGTGGCCACGGGGCGGACGGGGGTGAGAGGAACGCAGCCAAACAGAAAAAGGGCGATGAGCGGAGGATGAATCGACAAGGCGACGGGGAAGTGAAGGGGCGCCGGGGAGATGAGAGGCAGGCAAGGAGCGCTGAACAAAAATACGGATCGAAAAGAGACAGGGGAAACAATTGTACAACTCAAGCGAATCTGCAGGCTTCGTCCGACCCCGCCATCGCACCCATGACATGAGAATTGGCTTCGGCGGATCTCGGGCGGTTCGACCCGGAAATTCCTCTCGCATCGGCACTCCGCCCGGAGCAATGCTGGACGCTAGGTCGAGCCTCACCGTTCGCGCGAAAAGTGCGCCGCGATCCGCTCCTGCTGCGCACAACGCAAAATCGGAAGATAGCATCTCCAAGAAGTGCCCGCGCGGTAGCGCAATGCTGGGGGCGCACGACTTCGATGCGACACTTCTGGCACTTACAAACCGTCGCATCGATAACGCGAGGCTGGCACGACATGTGGGCTTGGGACATTGAACAAGCTACTTCCGCAAGCCTGTCACAGGATTTCAAGGATTTCAAAAAGAAACAAATCCGCCGACCCTGTCGGCGTGTGTGAAAGGCTTTTCCGTTGGAGTCGTCGTCGCCGTCATTCGTTCATCGTGGTCTCTGTCGTCCTCTTTCCCTGCGCTTTCCTTTCCCTGTGCCCGTCGCCGCTCCTCTCTCCTTTCCTGAGCTCTCCTCAAGCGCGTCAGCCAAATCGAACTTGAGCAACGTCGTCACACGCTCGAAACGAAGCCCCTTCCCTTTGATCCCTCCCCCGCCAAGGGGGGGGTCCCAGGCCCGGACCCGGGGGGGCCTCGGGTCTGGCGGACCCAGGGGAGCCCTGAGTCAGATCCGTTTTCCCTCCGAGGACTCCCGGGGCCTCAAGAAAGCCCCACGACGGGCCAAGGAGTGCCCCAAAAGCTCTCAAAGACAGTGCACGAGGGTCCCGACTCGCCGAACGATCTGTCCAAGAAGCCTGGACGGCTTCCCAACGGCCGAAGAATCCTGCAAGACGCTCATAGGGGCCTCCAGGAGCAGTCCCAAGAGTGCCTCGAAAACAAAAGCCGCAAATGTTGCGCAAGTGTTTGCACGTTTTCGGCGTTCTCGCCTCTGCCGCTTCCCGACGCTCCAAGACGGCCCAAGCGGCCTGCCAGATCGCCCCCAGACAGCCCCAGAGGGCTCCAGGAGCAACCCAAAACGGCCAAAGAGAGCCCCAAGACGGCCCAAGACGCCTTCAAAAGGGCCCAGAGGCACCCAAGACGGCTCCAAGACGGTGCAGCGACGACGGACCAAAATGGACATTTCGAGCCCTCCGCCCCGAATGCTCCCAGGAGAAACCAAGAGGCCCGCAACAGGCCCCCAAGAAACCCAGAAGAGAAACCCCAAGATGCTGCCGAGAGGCCCCTGGGAAGCCCCAACAGGCCCCGAAAAGGCTCCCAAGAGACTCCTACACTGTCCCCCGAGGCCCCAAGGGGCGTTTCGACCAGACCCCAAAAAGCGTCCCTGAGGACGCTGACCACGTCAGCGTCGTCGTCGTCGGCCGCCCGATGGCGAATACACAGTACAAGTGGTTGATGCGCTGCCCTGTTGTCTTGGTGGCGACAGACACACCATCCCCATCCTGGTAGATGGCGAATCCATCGCGACTTCTCCGCCATCCAGCTCCTCATCCCTCCTACTCATAACAATCTTCCCTCCTCCATCATTCTCCCCTTCCCCTTCACCTCCTCCGTCCCCCGCTCGTCATCCCTCCCATACCTTAGCTCTTCGAATATGTTCATCCTCGTTGTCTTCGTCGTCGTCCCCTTCAGGGTCGGCGGCGCCGGCCGTAAGGATTTCGCAAACAACATCAACAAGAATTGTCGATATGACTCACTGCTCTTGGTCAGAGGTGAGCATGCGCCGTAACACATTGAATGTCCACCTCTGCATATTTAAAAAATGTGGTGTGACAGATGCCACGATGCAGATCCATGGGCTGCACTTGATGCGGGCGATCTCGCCATCCAGCTTTGAAGCGAGACTCCCAGGCCCTCGCAGAAAACGGCAGTTGCACCCAAAGTTGTTCTCGGCAACGCCTCACATATGATCAACGCTGGCGGCCACATCGCCGTCGGAACTCAATATAACTTACAAAGCTAGCATGTTTGGGACCAGGCAGGAGTTGTACGTCTCGCGGCTGTGCTTGGATCCTCCGGTGTGCTGCGGCTGGAGTTGTAGGTCTGGTCTGTCGTCACCAGTCAACGCTCGACGCCCTCGCTCGCGACAGGGCCGCACG